AGGGCACCACAGTCAATTCATAATGACCATAGCGGCGATGATAGCGCATCTTAAAAGTAATCTTATGTTGGTCTTCGGGTGCTACCTCAATTTGATGATCCCTGACTTCAAGTATATCTTAGAACAGCATTTGCAACGATTACCCTGCAATTGATCTTGAAGGTCGTCGATGTGTGGTAGTAGTTGTGTGGTAGTAGTTCATCGTTTTTCACAGTTATGGCATTTGAGCCTCTGTAGTCGAGACATAGCCTCAATTCGCCTTCTTTCTTAGGTGTGAACAAAACTGGTGCACTGTACGGAGAGGAGGTAGGCTGTATCCACCCTTTCTCTACTAGTTGCATAGCTCTTTGACTTTTTTGGGGAGACACCCCATAGATTTGATCCCTGGTGGTTTTGACATCGGGTTCGTCGAGCAACCCTTATCGGCTGTCAATTCCCCAAGCCGCCAACCGCTTCACGCGCCACTGGACTCCTCTCAATCGCCCCCCGGCCTACATCAATATGCTGGCTTCTCCACCTCATGCCCGCCAAGGAAGACAACGAGAGTCCGCTCCAATACTAATTGGCACAATCTCATGTATTCACACTGTTTCTTGCAACATCACAAGTTCACAGTTCGTTGCACAAGGCTCCACACATGGGAGGCAAACCAACAAGATACGAGCACACTGCAGAAGTCACATGGTTGTAAAACACTGAAAGCATGATTTGTTGGCCTTTTCTGTTTTTTTTTTTCCTGTTTTTGTTTTAGTTCAATTTTCCTGTATGTCAAATTTTGTGTCTTTTGGACTTAGTCTATTGGAAATGGGCCAAGTTTGGTTAAAAAGGCCTTTGTTTTTTTTTCTTATAAATAGCATTAAAAAAATGCCGAAATTTTGGGTCTCTGTTAGCCTTCTGTCAAAACTTCAAACTCTTCTACATCAACGTTTTGTGTATGTACACTGATGGCTATAGCCGCCAAGGTAACTCTCGCTCCCTCACTCGCACATCCTATCTACCCTCAGACCTCTCGCTCCTCACTTCACTCTCCCTCGATCACTCGCTAGCGTAAGCTCTACAGCTAGGGGGACGGGTGTCATCGACTATCCTACTAGATTGCCTCTCACAGGCTCTCAGCCTCACTCGAGGCTTGGCTGCACAAAACCGCAACAACGTTTCAGTGACAGGCTTGAATGCCATTTCTATTTCCACGTGTTCCGGAAAGTTGGTGGACTTCCGTGGGACGGACTTGAGGTTTGCACTTGGACTGATAGACTGAGTGGGCCTAACGACCTATCGGCCTACCGGACCTAGTGGGCCTACTGGTACGGGCAAATTTCGGAGTCCTACCGATCTAACTGCACGGTTGGGAGTATTGGTGGGAACTATTGTACATGGACACTAAGAATATGGGACTGGAATTGGGACTTGGATGTTGAGACATACGAAATCCTTTTAATAGGAGAAGCCAGCTCTTCTATTGGGCCTCATATTAGCAGAGAACGGACACTTGAACAATGAAAATTTGTGAAGTAGATGTAGTTGAATAATTATTTTGAAATAGGCTATTCTAGCTTATTCAGTTAAAAACATGGTTACCCTTGACCAGGCAGTCGGCACTGGGTCCATTTTTTCTTTTTTCCCCCATCTCCCAGCGCGACATATGGGGCCTCGCTCCACTACTCTCCAAATGTGGAAAATCAGACTGGATCCTCCGCTAGAACATGGAACGATTGCATGCGAATTGCGGGCGGATTTATCCGCGTATGGCTCTGAAAGGAGGCTGGTGCGTTTAGGTTTGCCTCAGGCTTTATGGTTTGACTTGTTGTTTTTTTTTTGGTTTTCCCCTAGCTTTTGGTTCTGGGGTCAGCAGACCGCCCACCCCGTGTGACATGGCCCACCTTCGTCGTTTCATCTCATCCCCGCCTCTGGGCCGCGGCTTCGCCACAGCAGGTCAACTTGTTCAGTTAAAAGCATGGCCACCCTTGACCAGACAGTCAGGACTGGGTGCATACATCTGGAACTGATCCGGTGCAGGGGGTGCCCTAAAAGGATATTTTTAATATCGTTTGTTTTTTTTTCTTTAATTGAGTTGCGAGTTCTGAAATGACCCTCTGCCGGAAGTCGTTTGCCTTTCAATACCTTTTCTTTTTCGGTTTTTTTTTTTTTTTTTTTTTTTTTTTTTGGTTTAAGAGCCCATTGTGTGAGCCCTCCATTCCGATGGTGGTAAGAGAACCATCAGAATCGAGGGGTCATTTTGTGGGCTGCTCCATCTATGGGTGGGGAGCGGCGCAGCGTCCCTTGAATACAACACATTCAGCAAAACATTCATGTCAGTGGTCACCAGGCTGTGCATGGTCCTCTCCCTTGGGGACCCCATTGTCCCATGGAGCTGCCAGTCATCCCAATCCCTATTTGGAGTCCGCATTCATCATTTAGCCAGCCGTAATCTGCAGCCCCCCATTGTGCTTCGGCACTATCTATTTTCCCAGGCAGTCTCTCAGCCCCTCTGGAATCTCCCACCCTCCCGTCTTGCCCTTATCATGTCAGATCCAAGTAGCACCCATAGTTGGCCTGTTCTCCTGTCTATGCCTTTTACCTTCTGCTGAAACCTAGGTTTGTTTGAGAAACAGCTTGCCCACACATCTTTTCACCAATTCTCCCAAAGCACCCCATAACCCCCTAAAACCCTATAAACCCTATAACCCGCCGAGTCTGTGCAGGCCAAATGACTGCCTCCTCTGTGTCCCTTCCAATGCCCGAAGCTCTGCTGACAAAGTTGGCCCTTCACCTTTGGTTCCGTTTCTGCTGTTCTCACCTTCGGTGCCTTTTATAGCTTTTCCACCCCTTTCCTTTGGAGTCATGCTGCAGGCGCTGGGGCAGGTGCCGGGGAAGAAGGTGGTGCGCGGGGCAGGTGCATCTGGCCCAGTGAGGCCGGGGAGGGAGGGAGGGGCTGCGGCACAGGGGCAGGGATCAGCACAAAGTTGGGTTGTAGGTAGGGGACCCGGAACTCAGCGAGGGGTTTCCTTTGCCATTGGGGTTCCGTTGTCCTCCACGGTTTCCATGTTATGTCAAGTTCGGTGTTCAGTTCTGAGAACAGTTTGGCTGGGTCCTGCCAAGTTTGCATGTAAATGTCTCGGATTATCTCCCTGGTGGGAGGGTCCTTTTCCTCCACAAGATCCCGCTTCATCGCCTTCCACGCTTCCAGGGTTTTGGACCTTATCAAGTCTTCCACTGCCTGTTGCGCCTGCATCAACCCGAATTGATGGTCTTTTCGTTCAAACGAGCATCTGGCTCTCCAGGCCAGCATCAGGAGGTGCAGCCTTGTATACGAAAAGAGGTTGGATGCAAAGGGTGACCAGTTAGCCAACAGGTGGCAATTCTTTCCAAGCAGGAGGAGGCCAACATCCTAGGGGATATGGTATCCAGTAAGAGAGTGAAAAGCCGCATCCCACCATTGCCATAGCTGGGTTACCATCGAGCATGCCACGAGGCAGTGTTCGAGGGTCGCCCTGGCCGGCGTGTGCGCACAATATGCACATATGGGGGACAACTTTCCTTGTTGTTCCAGGGTAGTTTTGGACACCAACCAGTCAGGGGTGGGGAGGCAGCGGTGCAGGATCTGCCACTGCAGCGCTCTGTGGTTTGTGGGCATGATCTTTGCATATGTGGACCAGTCGAATGATTGTGACAGTTTTTGGTCCAACGGTGAATCCCGCACCCATCTGTTGGCTATTGTTTGGCCGAGAGGCAAGGATTGATGTGATGTTCGATACCCTCCTTTGACTGTGTAGTCCTAGATGTTCATTGGTTTGGCGCCCGGCCACTCCCACTCCACCAAGTCAAATGGGAGCTTAGCCACCGGTACAGTGGGTTCATATGCATAGTACCCATTTACCTGATCCCCCACCACTCTCACCTGCAGCAGTCCCCCCCATACAGCTGTGGTATCCAGGCTGTCGTTCCTCAGCAATTTGGTGAATCTGGATCCTCCTGGCGATTGGAGTTCATAAGCTTCCAGTTTACAGATGCCCTGCTGATTTTCTTTGACATTAAACACTGGCAAGTGAGCCGGGGAGTCCGAGTATCTGACGACCCAGTCACCCCGACGAATAGTCGGTCCCTCCCTCAAGGTGAGGTGCCAAGCAATGGGGAGGGCTTCTTTTAAAAGGTTAGCCTTCTCTTCCACGTTCTTGACGTGTTTTAGTTTGTGCTGCGGTTGGGTCGGGGTTGCCCAGTTCCCTTCCACCGGATCCCACAGGTCCCCAATCGTGAAGACTCCCTTCTTGACCCACGTGAGCCAGTGGGAATTGGTCGCAAGAGAGAAAGGTTGGCCTGATTCTTGCACGATGTGCGGCTTGCCGAAGAGGGGTTGTCTCCATATGTCGTGCCACCTGTTCGGAGGATGTTTTCGTCGGGGACCCCTTCGCCTCCAGAGTTTGATCATAAAGGGCCACAGAGGATCTGCCGGGATGTCGCATCTTGCGATCACATTTACAACTTTGCAATGCTTGCCCCCGACCGTCAGCCAAAAGTTGTTTCAACTAGTTTGTATTGCAATAATTTTTCTTTCTTCGTTTTTTACTGATGGCATGCAGTGGAAGGTCCATGTGCAATTAATCACATCTACAACTTTGCAATCCTAGCCCCTTCCCCTCCCCTCCTTCCCTCCTCCCTTCCCTCCCGCCCCTTCCCCCCCCCATCCCACTCGACCTTTTCCTGACAGGCATTGACCACTACCATCTTCACCCAAATAAACCCCTGGTCGCCATCGCTGCATCTGGTCTGAAAGCTGCCCCAAAAAACACAGCTATAGTGACCAGGTGTTCTATTCGGGTGAAGACGGTAGGCGTCTCTGTCGCAGCTATGTAGGCTCTGCGGCACACTACTCATTTGTAGCATGCTTGCCGCAGATCATCCCACATACCCTGCAACTCTTACTGCAGAGACTTTGTCTTCTTTTTCTTTCTTTTTTTCTAAAGTCTTCCCCATTCCTGATGACTTGTCGGAATTTTGTTCAGGAGGAAGCCGAGGCAATTGTCCTTGAGAACGAGAACTTCAATATCCGCGGAGAGCTGAAATCACTCGTCGATATGTTTGCTATCGAGTGTCGACAGAAAGGTCTCGGGATCATGCTCGAGCTGGCAGGTGTGCAAACTTGGTACTTCTAGCTCTGGGCAACTGTTCACTGGTCACGTTTTCTAGCAGCAGTGGTCGGGGCTGTCACGAAGCGGCCACGCTGTGCCTTGAGTGCCGAGTTGGAACGGTGTGTGTGGACTCCAAAGTGTGTTTCGCTGGCAACCGGAATTTCGCGTGCTCATTCAATTTTCAGATCGGACTTTTCCGGATGCTCCACCTCTTCTGTCCGGTGGGCTTGTAGTCTGCTTTGACTTTGACTTTCCTCACAGGTGCCGAAGACATATTCATCTGCTGTGTGTCAACTGTTTTTCTGATCAATTTAACATCTGATCCGTGGTCCATCGGGCCACACGATATTAAAAAAAAAAAAAAAAAAAAAAAAAAAAAAATTGGGACGCTGGACCCGCTTTCCCGCAGGTGTGGCTCCCCACCAATAGATTTGAGCAACCGGATTGCGCACTAGGGGAGGTTGCTCGTATCGCCTCCCCTAGCGACGCTGCCTGGGCTTTTCGCCTTAAAAAAATAAAGGAAAGAAAAAGGAAAAGGTGGTTGGTGCCCACCTGCCACTGTGGTCAAACAAAACCATGTGTTCCAACCACCGTGGTTACCAGGGGGCTCTCGCTTTTTCAGTTGAATCAGTTGCATCATGGGATTGACCCCTCAAAGGCCAGAGAGATTTCTTTCTGCAGGGGTGGGCACCTTTTTTTTTTTTTTTTGGTGAACTCCATGCACCGGGGGGCCTGCTTAACAGGGAGATACGAGCATCCCCTTTAAGCAGGTCACCGTTACCGAAGGTTCCATCTATTTGTGGGGAGCAGCACCTGCCGGAAATCACGTCCAGTGTCCCTGTACATCTCAAAGGTTTTGTAAAAGCTGTGTAAACATATGACATTGTGTGGAGTGCGAACACTGACTGTGTCTTCTGTGTGGGTGTGCCCACCCCTCATGCGATATCATCCGAGTATCTGGCTATGCAGGAGGAGGCATTGATTACTTCCCAACAAACAGGGAAGGATTGACCTAATCAACCCCAAGCCGGGTACACAGGAGGTCCTGATGGCTGAAACCACCAGTACAGATCTCAAAAAAGTTCAGGGACTCGGGACAGGGCACGCCTGCCTGTGTTGCGCCTGGTTCCACCCCAAGGCACGGGACATTTGTTTTTCCACCCGCCCCTCGGAGACCCTGTCCCGAACCTCTGAAATTTTGAAGAAGCTCAATGGCGAATCTGAACTTGGCCGGGGCTGTGTACTGATCGTCTAAGGTGGGTTATCACCATTAGTATCATATGTCAGGGGGAACTGCAGACTGTCGACTGTTCAGCTTCCTGATGAGTTGGTGAAAGCCCACGAGACAGTTTGTCACAGCCGTCCATTTGTTGTCCTTTTCTCCCTTTCTGCCTATGTGTCACATACAATCAAGAGAACTTGATACAACCTCAAGTGTTTACACTGTTTAGTGAACTGGAAGCTTAGATTTGTTTTTTTCCCTCCTCCAAAAAAATCTTTTTTGGATACGAGCTTTTCTTTTTCGATTCAACTGTGTGGTAGGTATGAAAGGCAAACTTCTCCATGCGAGAGGATAGTAAAATCCAAGCAGGTCCAAAATCACTTCCAGTTGATATGAACAGTTTTTTGTTCATTAACTTTTCACAACAGTTGTGCATGCTATACTTGAGGGGGGGGGAAAAAAGAAAAAAGACCATGGTGCTATGGATGAAGGGTCGTGGTTGCGATGGAGGTAATAATTGTGTGTGCACTCCTTGTTTGCTTTATTCCGCAACACCGCAGATGATCTTCCGGAAATCGTGAGGGGTGATCAAGCCCGCATCATGCAAATCTTCTCGACTCTAATTGGCAACGCCGTAAAGTTTACGTCATCTGGCTGTGTTTTCATCCGCGGCCGAGTGCAAGATGCGGATCGGTTCGATCCCCCGTCCCAAGTTAGATCCTTGACAGAGAGTGCCACTGACATCTCCGTGAGCAGCGTTGGTGCCCAGCCACACACACCCAGCAGAAGACAGACCATATGGTGCCAGTGGGTATCCTGGCGGACTACTTCATGTTGCCGATCAGTCTGGAAGAACTTGATTCACTTCGTCAATGGATGTGTTACTCGGGGGTTAAGATGCCAAGCCATCCATATTTTCCGTACGAATACCGTAACAACTCCTGATGGTGTACAAATATGCAGCAAGAGGTGCACTTCTCAGCCTGATAACATGCCTGCCGAACAGGAGCAAGCTAACGGACACGTGATAAGCGTGCGGCCAGAGGATGCCCCAGAGCCGATCAATGCCCTTGCGCCACATCACACACAGGCTGATCCTTCATCGCGCAAAGTGGCGCTTGTATTTGAGGTGGAAGACACGGGACCTGGGATTGCAAGCAATCTAAAGGAGAAAATTTTCCACGAGTTTGTGCAAGGAGATGGTTCAATGACACGAAGGTTGGTTGTGACCCCCTCTGGGACAGTTTTTACATGCCCCCTTGAGTCACCCTCTCACCCTTTTCTGGCACTTGTCTGCTGAGTCAGCATTCATTGTCAGACTTGTGTTCGCCCCATGACTGTCACCCGGTTCCAAGAGCTCAAGTGATTTGGCTCCTTTTTTTGGCAGATCTGTCCTCCGATGACTCAGACATTTGCACTGATTGTCCTGTCTACGTTGTTGAACTCTATGCAGACATGGTGGCACGGGACTTGGTCTCTACGTTGCACAGTCTCTGGTAAGGAAACATCGCTCGTAAATGCCCTCACCTCTCGTTCCGGGAAGGTTTATTCAAGTTTATTGTAGATAATCTGATAATGTCATGACATCAAGAAAAGCCACAAAGCCTGGCAAAGGTCATCAATGAAAAAATGATTATTTTTCTTTGTCTTCGAAAAAGCGGATGAGACTATGAGTAACACATCTTGCAACTATTCATGGAAAGGATAGGAGAGGGTTTTTTTTTTTTTTTTTTTTTTTTGTCCCCTTTCTCTTTGGGACCATTTCTCGAGTTATGCATGTGCAGGGGCCATGCTAATCTTCTCTGTATCGTTCCAATTTTAACGGATGTCCCGAAGGACAAGATAGGAGTGGGACTTCAATTCTGTAGTATGGGCAAAAATCCTTTATAACGACGGACAGGGGATAGTACAAGTGAATGGATTCCTGTGGAAACGTTACAAGATGACTACATCCGTTGGCCAGTGAGACCCCCTGTGCCTGGCGGTACCTGTCTTCCTTTTTTTTTCTTCCGCGTTTAGCAAGACAACCTTGAGGTTCTGGCTCCGTATCCATTCTTGGGAGCGACAGTCCGGTTCCTTTTCCACCGGCACTCTGTGGCCAAAATGTATGCAGCAAACACACTTGGAACTAGAGCTCAAGCATTCAAGATCGCGGGAAGGGATCTGGGTAAACGTCTAAGGGCGAAACCAGACAAAGCAAGTCAAATAATCACAACACTGGCACACTTGACCGCTTCTCCCCATTCTGGTGGAGAGACCCAAAGGGCGGCATTGATTGCTTCCGAAAGGAAAGATGTACCTCCCCTCACCCTGCCTAAGGGCGTACTCAGACTAGCAGTATCTCAAATGTATCTGACCGCATTCACGACCGCACCTTGATGTCTCTGGCCGCAATTCCGTCCAAAAATACGTAAAATAGTCCTAGTGTGAGTGTGCCCTAAGTTAGTCTGTTGATCTAACGTTTTCCGTAATGCTTGTCCGTTAGCATGCCTGTTTCTAATCTGTAGACTGCTCGTCTCAGCTGTTCTTAAAAAATAATAATAATAATAATAATAAACCTACGGTTCTGGATCCTTGTCCATTCTGGGGAGCGTCAGTCCGGTTCCTAGTCCACCGGCAAGTGAAGAAGGAATACAAGGAGAAGTCGCGCACTCCTCCCCATTATGGACAGCATTGATTACTTCCCTTGGGAAGGATGTACAACCCCTCACCCTTGCCTTAGTTGGCCTCTTGTTGTACTTGAGAACTAGCTGCTACCGTACTCCTGGTCTCTTTTTATGCCTTCAATCCATTACCTTGGCTTTCTCTGCTATCTGTTGGGATTAACGTTCTAAAGCTTTGCTTATATCCGCCCTCGTGCATGCTGGGGCCTGTTAAGCTTTTGCTGTCTCTCTAATTCTAGTTTGCTATTGTTTCTATAGATATGGTATAAGGAGGGAACTTGGTAAGACATATTGTGAAAGAAGGCTGTGGGGATCGGGTAGGTTTGGGGGCTTAGCAGAGGGGGTGTCTGAGATGGGTGTTTCGGTGAGCTTAGGGGATGGAAATGTCTGTGGTTTTGGGACGGTGGATAGGGTTTATTAGGGTTTAGGGTTTAGGGTATTAGTGGTACTGGGGTATTGTGAGCTCTGTTAGTCTCGTAGTGGGATTTGACTGGGAGTTGGGAAAGTGAGATGGTCGGTGCGTTGGCGCCGAGGAGAGAAGATGATTGGTGTCGTACTCGGTTCAGGTGTAGTGAGGTATTGGTACTTTCAAGACATTCTTGTTGCTGATCTGCTCTGTCATCTGTTTCAGTAACGGGGTGGTTTGACGGTGTGGTCTGGGCACCTGGTGGGAGGTTAGTTAGGCTCTGGTTATTTTGTGCAGGCAGCATTAGCCATTGTTTTAGGAACATCCTTTCCCTTTCTCTATTCCCACTGCCGGATGTTGAGTTCGTGTTTTGCTCCACAGGGTGTGGATCTTGTCTGGAGTATTCTGTAAGGCCCGGAGTTGAATTCGTGTTTTGCTCCACCGGGCGTGGATCGCCATTTCCACCATCTGCTTTTCATGGTTATGAGAGGGTTTTCGCGGGTGGTGCTGGACTCTTCAAAAGTTAATGTGCATCTCCTTTTCCAGATGGCCCAGAGGGTCCCTTTTTTTACTAGTGAAAAGAAGAAGAGTTCGAAGCCTTTGAGTGGTGGTGGCGATTGCTCAACGTCTAGGAATAGAGCGTGTTTTGCTCCACCGGGCGTGGATCTCCATTTCCACCATCTGCTTTTCATGGTTATGAGAGGGTTTTCGCGGGTGGTGCTGGACTCATCAAAAGTTAATGTGCATCTCCTTTTCCAGATGGCCCAGAGGGTCCCATTTTTTACTAGTGAAAAGAAGAAGAGTTTGAAGCCTTTGAGTGGTGGTGGCGATTGCTCAACGTCTAGGAATAGAGCGCCCGGGTTAATTATAACGCTTCTGCTGGAGTGTTTGTTCCAGGTTAGTTCTATGTCATGCCATAATTGCTTTGTCTTTTGGTAGTCTACGAAGCAATGGTTGAGTGATTCTTCAAGTTGAGAGTTACATACCTTGCACCAGGAAGATTGTTCAGTGGTGCTTTCCTTCTTTCTTATTTTTGTTAGCCAGAGATTGACGGGGACCGCTCTGAAGTTATGAGCCATAGACGACTGGCTAATGTGGTTGGTCTTGTTAAGAAGATTGCGGCCCAGGATGGGTTGATGACGGTCTTTGTGACCAAGTTTTCCAGGACCTCCTTTTCCCATCTCTTTTGTATGATCGTTTGAATTGCGGGTGGTTAATTGTGGAGCTTGTAACCTAATTTGGAGGAGTAATCAGTGAGTGTGTGTCGATGCTCTATCTCGGAACGTAGACTTGTTGTGCTCCATGACCATTCTGATGGCTCTACTTCCAGGTGACTTTTTTTTTTTTTTTTTTTTAATAACTGAACTATATTCTTCTCTCTCTCTCTCTAACACACACACACACACACACACACGCACACACACCCGCACACACATACACACACACACACACAGACAGGTCATCACGTCTCATCAGTACCATCATTATCATCATCATCACCATACTGTTCATCGGCATGATCTCAACCACCGGCGCGATCTTCTTGCTCCCCTTCTCTTCCCTTTGTCAGTCTCGCCCACATCATCTCTGCATCCTCTGACCATCATGATGATCGTTGTAATCCCTGCATCCTCCGACCTCCTGCTCTACCATTCTTGCTAGTGTCATCCCTGCATCCTCCGTCCTCTACCTCGCTCCACCCTTCCTGCTCCTAATATGTCCTCTCTCTCTCTCTCTCTCTCTCTCTCTCTCTCTCTCTCTCTCTCTCTCTCTTGTCATGGTTGATTGATGGCCCAGTGACAGTATGCCCTCCCATCGCTCTCCTTATCCTTCTCCATGGGAATGGCAAGTGAACCATCGCAGACAGTGACACAGCACCTAACAGCAGTCGTCATCGTTAGGGCGTGCGCAATTGCTGTTGCCACCGAAGACCCCGCGTGCTTGCATGCGCTTGCTATCACCATCAGAGATTCTGTGTGCTTGGATGCGCTGGCATGCAGACTGCCATGCGGACAGCCTCCCGCGACATTTGCAGTTGCATGCCAAACCTGCACACGACTCTCCTGCATCCGCGAACAGTAATCATAACACGGTCGTTATCATCGGGAGTGGACAGGGTTGAGGATCTTTCTCTCTCATACTCCCTCCTGCCCCTCTCCCCATCCCTCTGCTCCTTCATCAGTAGGCATCATCCTCTTCCCTTCCATCCTCCATTCTCCTCATTTCCATGCTCCCTACTCCTCATCCCTCCTCTCTCCTCCTCGTACACTTCCCCCTCTCTCTCCCTGCCCTCTCCTCCTCGTACACCCCCCCCCCCCCCTCTCTCTCTCTCTCTCTCTCTCTCTCTCTCTCTCTCTCTCTCTCTCTCTCTCTCTGTGTGTGTGTGTGTGTGCGGTGCGTGAAGAGGCCCCTGCCTTTGGACACACCACCCCCTGCTTCGCTCCGTGGGCATTTTCCATCTGCTCTAGGGTGATGATTAGGTCTTCGCAGTGTGATGAGAACCATCCGATGTGTGATTGATGCTGAGGTGGAATGACAGTGTAATGCTGGTTGTGCCGAAGCAGCGGTTGGTCATCACAATCAACATCGGGTCATCTGGTGAGAATATCTGTGGTTGGGGGCAGCTATTTTGAGGTACGTTGCACCGAACCTTATCTACCCTCTTCGACACTTCTTACCGGGAGGATGTGTGTTCTGTCTTGACAGTCCTCTCATGTGAGGAGTCGTGTGCGCTCAACCTTGAGAGTCATCACTGTTCACATGGAGCATATGGAAGGAGAGGGCAGTGATATCTGAAGGGCTCTGGACGAAGCACTGGGTCACGGTCACCATGCCAACCCACCGGGAGTAGAGCACACATGCTTTGCTGCTTTGTCCTTTGTCTGCTCGCTGCGCTATAAAGGGGTTTTGAGGGGCAGGCCAGCCCTATGGGAAAGACGAGACCGGATGTCTATAAATAAATACCGGCCGGGACCTTCCATTGGAGGCTACTACTGCGTGTGATTCATAAAATCCATCCAGTACAGGGAAGTGGTCCTGGGATACTCCCAAACGTCCACCTCGATCTCCTCTCCGCCTTCTTTCACCAGGGCCGTGGAAACTACTGGTGTAACTTTTGCCTCCTTCACCATCAGGTTCAAAACCTCTTGGCTTGGATCCTGTTCGTTTTGACTGTGTGTGTAGCATATCAGAAAGTGAAATGCATTGAAAGCCTAGGATCTAGCAATGACGAAAGTGGCAACAACCAGCAGCATAGGTGCAACATTCACAAGGTGTCAATGTGCGCGACGCAAAGAGTGAAACAACGGGAAATCAATAACAACACATTCGTATCATCATCATCATAGGCTGGGAAGCAGCGCAGCGGAAGATCTAGTATCAAAGGACATGTGGACAACAACATGAAAGGGAGAAACTTCG